TCACGCAGGCAAGCGCAGCCAACCACATGCACGCACGCACGCGGCACGCTACACACACACACCACTACACAATCACACACACAACACACACACACACGCCACACACACCACAACCCACACGCACGCAGCACACACACCAATGAGCGCGGCGACATGCAGCGTTTATAGTATGGGTTGAGAAATAGCTGCGGTGTATTCCGCCTTCAAACAAGTGATGATGTTGGTTGTTACGCTCCGCAACGGAGTGCAGGAGGGGTAATGTGACAGTCTCCCGTGTGATGTTCATGTGTGTGTTTAGCCAGCAGCGTTCAGCGAGCCAGCAGCAGCAGCGCGATCGATTCAGCACCAGCTCGCCTTAGGCCGCCAGTCAGCAGCAGCTCGCCTTAGAAAGTCAGCGCAGGCGCAGCAGCAACAGGCGAGCCAGCTGTGATAACATGTATACATGTGACAACGTTCGCGAGGTATGCACTCTTTTGAGTGCCCTCTGTCAGTTATAGTAGTAGACAACAGTAAGTCCCGTACAACTCAATACTCAAACAACACACACACCACAACACACTACACACACCACACACACACACACACACACACACACACACCATCACCACACAAACACACACACACACACACACATCACACACACACACCCACAACACAACACACAGCACACACACACGCACACCACGCACACACATATATAGTATATTATATATCGCACAGGGCGCGCACGCACGCTCCTCCGTGCGCAAACGGCACTGGCACAGGGGCACGTAGCACCACTCATAGTATAGTATAGAGAATAGCATGAAGACCGCTAGTATAGAGTATAGTATTGAGAATAGAATAGAGCCCGCTAGAAGAGAATATGGTATTGAGAATAATATAGACGCCCGCTAGAAGAGGAATATGGTTATTTGTAGAATAATATAGACCCCGCTAGAAGAGTATATAGGACCTGGTATTGAGAATAATAACATAGACCCCGCTAGCGTAGAGTATCTTATAGAGAAAGTACAGAATAATACAGAGAATAATATAAATTGCAGCAGTCAATTGCCGCTAGTCGTAGACGCGATTATGTAAAGTACACTTACTAGAAGTGTTGCATAATCTATTTGACGTGGCATCAAGATCGACGTAGCTGGTAAGGTAATACAATTCGCATTCGTCCATAATTCGTGACTTGGCGCGACGCAAACACACAACCCTTGAACTGGACAATGATATCACTAATCACAAGTATTTCTCTATAGCACTGAAATATAGACATTACCGTTCACATTATATGAATGAGGATGCCACTTTTAATGCACGGAATGATAGAGAATTATTGAAAATCGCAAACGTCAGTGATTGGAAAAGAGGTGGGCGAAGGGCCTCATATCAAAGAGGCGGCGAACATGCAAGGGTCCATAGTATGGGTTTTGAGAAATAGCTGCGGTGTATTCGCCTCGAAACAAGTAATGATGTGTTGGTTGTTATAGTAGTAGGCACAGCAGCGCCAGCAAGTCACATACAACTCAATACTCAATCTCATACTCAATTGTTAGGGTCAGCGTGTTAATATAAATAATTAATAATAATTAAATAATATTGAATAACTGTTATATACAGGTTTGCGCTACAGCAATGACTGCTTTATATCATAGAAACGAAGTGACGATGTAACATGAGGCATCACTACGGTGAGAAAATATGTGGAAGAGAATATATAGATGATCCAGTCTACTTTGAGGGAGTACGGCGAATTCTTCACCGAGTAGCGATTTCTCATCTTCTGGCTCTCATCACGTCCGTACGTTGCTGTCATACGGGTATTTGAGCGCTCAATTTTTCCCTGCAACAGCAGCATACAACAACATAATAATACATTGTTAAACTCAAACGTGTGTCTACGATGAAACTGGTAGCTTCATATTACGACAGCAGTCAAAGCAATTCCCACATTTTTAAAGAATACCTTTTTTCGCGCATAACAGCTTCAGGGTCAACGTACGTTACGTCATAGTACACATGTTATGCGGGCTAGAGCGTATATTATCTCACTTGTAACTGTCGGTACTAACCCATAGAAATTACGAGGACGTAAAACACGCGCAAACTACAAAGTAAACAGATGGTCTTGTCTGCCTAGACTGTCCGCCATGTTGCAGCGTCCGATAAATAAAATATACATGCTTCTTATATGACATAGATATTACAATTCGGACGTGCGGCTTCACGCGGGTGTTATCTGTTACTGTGTGACAGTGTGGGTATAAGCCACGATATCAGCTGATTGTAGAGGCCCTCTGGCCTGCTCGTAGCTCCACTCGCGGCTAAAATCCCGGAACACTGGCATCCATTCGCTTGAATGGTAGCACACCATTGTGCGTCGCTGTATGGGCGATAAAGCTAAAATGCTAGACTGGCCACCGTATGAATGGACGATAGGTCAGCGTTGATAAGATCGGCTCGACAGTGATCTAAACGTTTAAGAGTAACGTTGACAAAATTAGGAATATATTCAATATGAACAGTTAAACAAAACTAACAAAACACCTGAAAACAAACTAAAAATCGTTCATGCGCTTACTTATTGTCTTTTTCAAGATGGGCGTCAACTATTCTCGCCCCAAAATCCCCGGAAACTATCGCGGCGGATCTATGCTTTCTGGGTCCCGCTTGTTAAAATGTCGCACCTGGGTGACAACGATAGACGCCCTGTGCCGACGGGTACGGTCTATGGCCGTTATCGAGCGAATGAACGGTTGAGTGGCCGGTTCGTGGCACGCTTGATTCTGTGCTGCGCGCAGCTTCCGTAAGGCGCGGAGCATGTAGTTTCAGCTGGTCGACGAATTAATCGTCAACGTCAACCCTGCAACGGTATGACTCAGTCAACACCGCTGACATCCTAAGGTAAATAATACAGCCGTTTATGCGGCAATTGTCTGTGAAGGCCGCGTGCGTGCGTGCGTGCGTGCGTGTGAGTGTTTAGAGGTGCGTGCGCGCGTGCATTTTTGCGTGGGTTTATCTCTCTCTGCTGCTCTCGTCTCTCTCCCTCTCTCTCGTCTCTCTCCTCGTGGGGATCGTCTCTCTCTCTATCTGTTTTCTTTTCTCTCTCTCCTCTCTCTCTCTCTCTCTTCTTCTCTCTCTGTCTCCACCTCTTTTCCCTCTTTCCCCCTTAGTATTACTGGAGACGGGACTGCCATTTTACGTGGTTATCCGAGCCACGGGAGATTCACAGTCTTCAATGTTGAGAGCCAGGTTTTTACACCTTGAGAAAATTCACTGCGTATTTATATATATACCCTTCTTTATACGCTCTTGGTAATATACATTCTCTTATACGACATAGATATTACAATTCGGACGTGCGCTTCACCGGGTGTTATCTGTTACTGTGTGCGGTGTGGGTATAAGCCGCGATATACAGCTGATGTCTAGAGGCTCTGGCCTGCTCGTAGCTCACACTCCGGCTAAAATCCCGGAACACTGCACCCATCGCTGAATGTGACGCACACCATTGTGCGTCCTGATGCGATAAACTAAATGCTAGACTGCCACCTATGATTACGTAGGTCACTTGATAAAGATCGCTGACAGTGATCTAAACGTTTAAGAGTACGTTGACTAAATTAGGATATATTTCAATATGAACCAGTTAAACAAAACTAACAAAACTACTAAAACAAAACTAAAACTCGTTCATCGCTATCTATTTCTTTTCAAGATGGCGTCAACTATTCTCCCCCAACTCCCGGAAACTATCGCAGCGGATCTATGCTTTCGGGTCCCCTGTTAAAATGTCCACCTGGGTGACACCGATAGACGCCCTGGTGCCGACGGGTACGTCTATGCCGTTCTCGACGATGAACGGTGAGTGGCCGGGTTCGTGCACGCTGATTCTGGCTCCGGCAGCTTCCGTAAGGCCGGACATGTAGTTCAGCTGGTCGACGAATATCGTCAACGTCAACCCTGCAACGGTATGACCATCAGTCACCCACCGCTGACATCCAAGGTAAAAAATACACGTTTATGCGCGCATTCTGTGAACCGCGTGCGTGCGTGCGTGCGTGCGTGTGAGTGTTTAGGGGTGCGTGCGCGCGTGCATTTGTGCGTGGGTTTATCTCTCTCTCTCTCTCTCTCTCTCTCTCTCTCTCTCTCTCTCTCTCTCTTTCTCTCTCTTTCTCTCTCTCTCTCTCCTTCTCTCTTCTCTCTCTCTCTCTCGCTCTTTCTCTCTCCTCTCTCTCTCTCCTCTCTCTCTCTCTCTCTCTCTTGCGACGCATGTGTGTAATGTATTACGATTATATCTATTGTATGTATGTATGTACTGTAGTGTTATGTATGTATGTATGGTATGTATTGTATGTTAGTTGTTATATGTAGTGTATGTATGTAGTATGGTAATGTTATGTCATTGTATGTAGTGTATGTATGTTATTGTATGTATGTATGTATGTATGTATGTATGTAGTTGTTATGTATGACATATGTCATGGTATGTATGATTGATGTAGTGTATTGTATGTATTGTATGTAATGTATGTATGTATGATATGTATGTATGTATTTTATGAGTTATGGGTAGTTGTATGTTATTGCTTATGTCTTGTATGTATGTTATTGTATGTATCGTAGTGCTATGTATGTACATGTATGTATTATTGTATGTTTATGATATGTATGTATTCGTATGTTATGTATGTATGTATGTATATTGTATGTTACTGTATGGTTAATGTATGTAGTGTATTGTATGTGATGTATGTATGTATGTATGTATGCTATGTTTAGTGCTTAATGGTATGATGGTACTGTATGTATCGTATGTATGTTATGTCATGTATTGAGTCATTGTATTGTATGGTATGTTATGTATTGTTCATGTATGTATGTACTGTATGTATGTATGTATGTTACTTGTATGTCATCGTGATTGTATTGTATGATGTATGGTAGTGTATGTAAGTGTATGTAGTGTATGGTACTGTAATGTATGTATGTAGTGTAATGTATGTGTATTGTATGTATGTATTGTATGTATGTATTGTATGTAGTGTTATGTATGTATCGTATGTATGTATGTTAATGTTATGTTACTTATTGTATTGTATGTATGTATGGTATGGGTATGTACTGTATGTATGTATGTATGTATTGTATGTTATGTAATGTATGTGATGTATGTATGTATGTATGTATGTATAGTATGTATGTATGTATGTATGATATGTTCTGTGATGTATGTATGTATGTATGTATGTATGTATGTTATGTATGTATGTTATTGTATGTATGTAAATGTTATGTATGTATGGTATGTATGTATGTATTGTATGTATGTATGTCATGTATGTATTTTATGTTTGTTATGATGTATTAGTGTAGATGTATGTACTTTATGTATGTATGTATGTATGTATGTATGTATGATTAATGTATGTATGTATGTATGTATCGTATGTATGTATGGTATGTATGTTATGGTATGCTTATGTATTTAATGTATGTATAATGTATGTATGTTATGTTGTATGTATGTATGTTATGTATGTATGTATGTATGTATGTATGTATGTATGTATGTATGTATGTATGTATGTATGTATGTATGTATGTATGTATGTATGTATGTATGTATGTATGTATGTATGTATGTATGTATGTATGTATGTATGTATGTATGTATGTATTTATTTATGTGTGTATGTATGTATGTATATGTATGTGCGTGTGTGTGTTGACTGTTGAATAATGGATTAAACAAATGGTGTATGCGTATTAGACACAACCTTTACAGATCAGACCAATTAGTTGTGTAACGCACTATCCAGCTTCCTGCCGCGGTAGGAAAGGTAAATATCAACGGCACAACTATTATATGCAGAGGAACACTGTTATGAAAATCAGAATAATAAGGCATATGTTGTCGTAAAAATTATAAATGGCGTCTATAAACATGCTTATTGTAGATTTGTGTGACATTCTCGCATGTTACTCGTGCATTCAGTGGCGTAGTTAGGGCGGGGGCAAAGGGGGCCAAGGCCCCTCTTGTTCATCCAAAAGTTAAAAAAAATAAAAAAAATAAGAATTGTTCTACTAAAATGGAAATTGTCGTAGTCAGAATGAAGGCTGTAGGCCCTACATGTACTCAAACGTGCCTCAAATACCATCTCCTGCGATCTACATTTTCAAAATTCTCTGTGGGAGGACCCCTATACCCCCCGCCTGTTTTCACACCCCTCCCCCCTGTCTTTGGAATCCTTTATCCGCCACTGAACAGTTACATATCTTGGGAGCAGTAAACAACGAACAAAAATGTCACCTTTTCGCATGGCGCCCAAAACAAAGATTGCAGAGCTGAGAGGTGGGGGAGCGTAGGATGCAGAGATGGAGGCGGAGGAACCATTTAAATATTAAGTCATCCACTATTTTGCGCAGTTCGCTGTTTTTGGCCCCCCCCCCTGATAAAAATCCTGGCTACGCCACTGCGTGCTTTGTTGGTAGCGACAAGGTTACATCAGGTGCACACGAATTGTCGCGTAGCGCATAGACGGAAATAACTGCGAGTGTTATAATCCTCCATATTGCTCGCAGATTATAGATTATTTATTAAACCAAGTAGGCTAATATATGAATTTGCTTACCTCTAGTGGCTCCGCCCTGCTTCACGAGGTATCGTAAGTTATCAGAAGCGTAGTTAAAGGTGAAACAATTACCGTAATCGGTGGAGTGATGCAGCTTAAAGTCCCTATAACGAGATATCGACTACAATAATACACAATGAAGTCTTTTATTTAATATGTCTTTTATTAATATAACTTTTATTTAATATGTCTAGCTGGTTCGCGACAGTCTTAATTATTTTGAGACTTTGGTAAGACTAAAGTTTTTGTTATAGAATTACAGTTATAGTTAATAGTTGTTTGTTGTTTGCCTGTGTTGTATGTTGTTGTCTGTGTTGTTTGTTTGTTGTTGCTGTGGTTGTTGTTGTTGTGTTGTTGTTGTTGTTGTTGTTGATATTGCAGTTATATCGTATTGGCGTTGCTTTATTTTCTCGTTATCAAACACAACCCACTATGTTGTAACGCGAGGTACGCCTTGTGTTGACTTACTCTCCATATTGCACTTGATGCCGTTGAAATAGCAGCTTATGATCATGGTGTCCATCTCTTGTGCTGGAATTAATCACTCTTGCCAGGTAAGGCTGCTTAGCACCTTCAGCAGCAGCTGCCGTCTAAGCTGCTCCCCCACTTCTGCATCGTCCTATAGAGAAAATTCGACTGATTTGAGAAATTGTAGAATGAATCCTACCTCATGTCGATACGTTGAATCGCGTTCATTTGTTAGCCGTGCTGTATGCTGTAGCTGAGGGACTATAGAATCACACATCGTGCGTACAGTACGTGCGCGACGAGTTCCACTAATAAAATAAGTAATTTACAGGAATGCCTGCTATTTTTTCTGTTTCTAACATTTTCTGACCGCCTTCATCGCCCACATCCATCCAAAAGAGGGGGGAGAGTCTCCTCGCTACATTAAATTTATAATTTATACTTTCACGAGGGGATATAATACTTATACTCAGGTAAGTATAACGTACTTACATAAGTATTAATCTCTCTCTCTCTCTCTCTCTCTCTCCTCTGCTCTCCTCCTCTCTCTCTCTCTCTCTCTCTCTCTCTCGCTCTCTCTTGATAGGTACAATTTGAGAATTACATTGGCGCGCCGGACGCGCGTGTATTACGTATATATAGGCGCATGCACTCACGCAGCTGTCGTCGTCGTTCTCGTAGCTGTACTCGTAATCGAAAGGGTCGCAAATCTTGGCCTCCTGCACGGTGTCCACGCTGATGTTGTACGCATCCAGCTTATAACCCGCGTACGCGTTCTGGTTGCAGATTGTCACGGCGGGAAACATCAGCTCCTTGGCGTAGATCACGTCCACGTCGACAAGCTTCGGATAGGAGAGGTACTTTTCCAATATGTTATACGCCTGCACGATGGCGAAGCCGAAGAGCAGCACAAAGAGGAGCGACCAGACGGTGCGGCGGAACAGCGACATCGGCGTGGCGGCCCTGTACACGCCGTGAGCCGACGTGCTATCCACGAAGTCCCGCAGCACCTGCATTATCGCTGCAGGTACGTCGCCGTTGCTGTCGTCCTGACTGCGATCTTCTCTAGCACGCTGCGCGGGCGATGTGAGCGACGAATATATACGAAACACGCCGTGCGACGAGCGCGGCAGTGTCGTGGCGGTGTCTCTCTCTATGCTCCTCGTGCGCGTGCGTGCGTGTGTTGGTATTTGTACGTATGTCTGTGCGCGTGCGCGCGCGCGTGTGTGCGTGCGTGTGTGTGTGCGTGTCTGTCTGTCTGTCTACGTGTGTGCGATATTGTTGGTGTCGCCGTCCATCACCGGCTGCATGTATGAACACTGCTTTCACCGGGTCGCGGCAGGCTCATAACTAAAAAGGCTATTAACGCGCACCGTGTTCATCCAGCGTTCATGCAATTATTCACAGAAGTAGATAATAGGGAATTCCCTATTATCTACTCCTGAATTATGATCACAGTGGATGGTATCGTGTCAGTATAATTACGCAATGTGCAGCGTTAGACAACGCGCAAGCGTTCTCCAACACGCACGAGCAAGTGGAACAGGAACGCAGGTGGCGACATTATGAATGAGAGTATACTCAGTTAAACAGTGCAGTATAACCATTCGATTGCGAGAATATAATGTTGGCGGCGCTCAGGGTGTGAACCACACTGGAGTTTGCCACGCGTCTGTGGTTAGCAGCGTGGAATTTATTTGTTTCCGGGATCATTTTTCGCCTCCTCGCGAGGTAGGACGGTGGCAGACTAGCGGGCAAAACCAGTGGTGAAATGAACGAAGTCTTTAGGATAGTATTTAACACTGATCGCATTATTCATTGATATACGGTAACAGGAATAACACAACACTCACTGCACGCGTATCTCGAATAGCGTATAGTATATATATTATATAACTATTATATTGCTCGTGCCACGTTTACGTTATCTCGCTGTAGGCGATTACCGTTTTACATTCTTTTAGCCTGATTCTACAGAGTTAATACTGTAGCGTCTCTGTCTCTCCCAGTCGTGTGCTTTCGCGGCTCGGCGCGAGTTCGTGGGTGGCAAGTGCGATCTCCCTGTGTGTGTATGGTATAGCTTCCTTGTATAAGGTATACCTCTCGGCGGCTGTGTCCTGCTGGTTGTGCGAGGTTCTCCCTCCGAAGTGTGTGTGCCGTACGGCTCGAGGTGTCGTTTCGTTCGTTCGTTCGTTCGTTCCTTCGTTCGTTGTTCGTTCGTTGCGTTCGTTCGTTTCGTTCGTTTGCTGCTGTTCGTTCGTTCGTTTGCTCCTTCGTTCGTTGTTCGTTTCTGTCGTGCGCGGCCGAAGACTGTATGATTTTACCATGGATCTTGGTGCTTATATTAGGAGCCCGCGGTGACAGATACCGGCGGCCGCCTCCCTGGTCCCGTGCCGGGTGTCAGAAGTAGATGGGACTACGTCCGGCGTGCCTGGCCGTTGCCCCCTCGCTTAACACGGTGTTACGCGGATGCCAACCCCTTGGTTGGAGTATACGCACGAGCGTCGTATTGTCTGAGAAGTTACTTGTCTGAGAATCCTGTCTGCCACTGTGCTCGCTGGCGCCTCTCTCGCCCGGCGCGTGTACGTGATGGTGCAACTCCATGATCTCCACACGCTGGCGCCACCTCTTCGCCCGGCGGTTACATGGGGTGCCATTCACGCGAGCTCCCACAGGGAGGCTGCATCGTATGCGAGCCCCCCCCTCCCTCAGCGAAACTCTCATCCTCTGTGGGTGACGTTGGCTCTGTGTGTATGGACGTCATCCCCGCTGAACTCTCCACACTCTTCATCTCCCCCCCCTGAATCATCACAACTCCTCCCAACTTCTCTTAGTATCCGTCCTCGATTACGATTTACTTCCCTTCTATATATGTCATCTCAATGGTTCATCTCATTTACCATCTTGTTTGAGTGAGGCCGCGGTTAGTACAACAGACGCAGTAGAACACTGTACATAGAAATGTTTTTATAATCATTAACTATTCATCGTTATCCCCGTATATCGTCTTTCGCGAACTATTCATGAGATTTACAGTATCATCATGCATATATTGATCGTAGAATAATTCTTAATATCCAAAATAT